TCTAAAAGAAGCAAGTACAGCAGATCAATGGCAGTGGCTAGTAGAAGAGTGTTTCGTTTAGGTAAGTCCTTAATAGAGAGAGGGAGGGGACTGATATTATAAATGATTGCATGTATTCTGGTACCAGCTGGTGAAGTGGTGGGTCCAGACTCCAGACTACTTTGTATGGTCTAGTAACTGTAGGTGATATTACCAACTGTTTGTGTGTATTATAGATATCAGTCATATGAAGTTAGTGAGAGATGCTTTGAAGGAAAGTCACTTCATTGATGCTAACTGGTTTGATCTTGGAGAGGAGTTAAACCTACCTTATCCTCAATTGAAGAATATTGAAGATACTTATGTGAATAATCCATCACGTTGCTTGAGGGAGTGCTTGAGCTTGTGGTTGACTTCAGCTAATAATCGTACTTGGGAATCATTAGCTAGTGCACTTGAGAGAATGAATCAAAAACCAGCTGCTACACTTATCCGTAACACATGTAAAGTTAACATTTATAAATACAGTTTAAAGTATATTTATTATTTCTATAGATGATGATCCTGCTAGTCAGATATTGCAGCATTACAGTGATAGAATATCACAAGTATCTCTCACTGATAGTTGTATCCAGTTGTTATATACAGAAGGATTAATCACTGAGGATACACAAAGGAAGATTGAGAGATGTGGTGGCTCATTAAGTGATACATTAAGAGAATTAATGATTGCAGTATCTGATGATCACAGTAAGCTGAGGTCACTAGGAAATATATTAATGGAATTAAAAGAAGCTAAACCTTTAGCTCAAGATATTATTAAAGATTGTGGTAAGAGTATCAACCTATTGGATAACTGTGTTTCATCGATATGTTTCTTAATAGATGAAATTATTAATAGACCAGTGAGTACAGGTGTAGTTAGACCAGTGACCAGTAGTACAGTCAATCATTTACCTACCCCAAATGCAACAGTATCAGCTTTAGGTATTGACATGTAGTTTAAAATGCATTATTTGTTATCTATAGATGGTGAGCTCTTTTTCAATGCTGCACATCAGTCTATGTTTGATGAGGTCAGAGGAAGTTTTGGTATTCTCATTGATAAGCTCATTCCATTGATATTGCAATCAATTCCATCAGCTGCAAAAATGAAGTCATTCCTTCAACTATCCTTCCCTGAATTGAGCGATGAGCTGTCTAATGCAGACATTACTGAAGACATTATGAATGTTGTAGTAAAAAATTGCCGTATCAATAATATCTCAAAATTAAAAACAATTGTAAAACGATTTAATATCACTGAAGCAAAACCTTTGATATCAGAATATGAAGAAGAAGTGAAGACGGTTTGTGGATCATTAAAGGATTTCCTTACTCAGAATCAGCCTCAGTATCTTAGCAATTTTGAAACAATTCAGTTTACTTTGGGATGGGAACCAGAGGAGCACTCACTTGATGACATACGTAATCTCTTAGAGGAAGCATTTAAAGAATTAAACAAGAGAATTATCGTACGAAGCATTCATCGTGGGAACTCCATCATTATCATCTGTTATGGTCCACATCATTTACTAGCTGCTCTTCTCTTGGAAGCACAAGACAACCTAACTGTCTTGATGAAGGAATTCAGTTTAATTAGAGTCACCATTGGCCACTACACTGTCTATGATAAAAGGATCAGATACAAAGTATAAGATACTGTAACTGTATGAGACCTTGTTTAATATTATGTACTGATTATAGGTAATAAATAATGAGTGTCTTGCAGAGGAGATTAAACTAGCTGATGGAGAGGAACAAGAGCTGAGGACTTTACTTGATTACAAAGAAGGTGTGATAGTTGATCTATTACTCAATTACTGATGTTACTTATACTAATGGTATAGGATCAATATTTGAACAAGATGAACAACTGAATATCATCAAAAAAAGAAAAGGTATAGTTAGTGAATGATGAAGATATTTTATTAATGTATTTTTACTTGTATAGAGTATATTGAAAGGAGACTAGAGACACCAGGTATAGTACTAACTTAAAGCATGTATTAAAGTAATGTGGAGTTGATAATCATTTGAACAATCAGTACAATTATCTTATAAATTAAAATTCTCATTGTGTCATTACTGTAGAGTCTAAACTGAAAGTGAAGCTACTGACTAGAGGGAAGTTGATAAATAAAATATTCAAATCAAAGAAATCGGAGGCTCAGTATTTTCGAATGAAAGCAGGTACTGACTCTACTTGTATAATCTGTCTATACTACCTCATGACAGGAAGAGAGGAGGCATTAGTGGAGTATAAGAAAGAGGTTGAGCTACTACAAGAAAATATATCAATAACTAGTGAACAACTGCTGATGAATGAAAAGGGAAATATTGAGAGTATGTGATATGTTAGAAATTAAATCATTAACTGATTGATATATTGTATAGAGAAGGATCAGTGTACACAATCACTGGATACACCAACAGCAGAATCTATTTACACAGCACGTATTGACTATCATAGAATATATAGCGATCTTTCATTCAGTGAGGGAGAGCAGCTGGAGATATATGACAAGTCTCAAAGATTTTGGTGGGAAGGAAGATCCTTGGTGTCTAGTGATGAGGGGGACTTTCCTAGTAGTTGTGTTTACTCAATGTTGGAGTCACTTCAATTGTTAGAGTTTATACTGTCAGTGGAAGAAGTGTCCCTTCCTATTCTACAGAAGATAAGGAATGATTCATCTAGTAATGATGAGAAAGCTTCTCTTTTCTTGGAGACTATTAATGATGATTCTATTATGATATCTGCACTGAGACAAGATAAGAAACAACATGATAAAGGTAATTGGGGCGAGCCTGAGCAAGCCCCACTAAGGCAAGAAAGTATGTACCGTGTAGCGGAAAATTTTCATTGCCCAAAAATTTTGTTGATCCGTTCAAAAATCAGTTTCGTGGCTTTAATTTTCGTAGTTTTCTACTTGTTGGCCATTTTAAACCATATTTAATCAATTTTTGCAGATTTTATTTTTGTAAATTTTGAAAAAAACGCAAAATCTGCAAAAATTTTGGGCCACAAAAATTTTCCGCTATACGGTATGGGTCAATCGTCTAATTATATTATTAATGTTAAATAGCCTAATCTTCAGTGTGGTCTCCTAGCAGCAAGCCTAGGTTAACAAAGCAGATGTATAATCTGCTTTTGAGTGACTGCTTCCAAATTGCTACAGAGATTGTTAGTGATAAGGAAAATTTAAACAAGATGACTGCAGCAAGATCCACTGCATTTAGACTTGTGCAATTGCTTTGCTAGCTCATACATGTAGCTCATACAGCACATAATCTATAGCTTGCTTAGGCTCGCCCCTTTAATGTTTTACATTGTTCTAGTATTTTTGATTATTGTGACGGTTATTTGTATATACACATGATGTGAATATGTGTATTATTATGTACTACATACATGCATTTGGTTTATATTAGGAGTCACTGGGAGTCTGCACTGGTACAGTAACAGTGTATCCCTTATCTCTCCAACTCTAGTTCAGTGTAATGAAGTGATTAGTAATATTAATAATAATCATTGCAAGATTCAACTTGACTCCTCATCTACTAATAGTACAGTATCTCTACTATCATCAACTAAACTGCATACACTAAACCTGAGGAGACTTGAGATATGGTACACTCCATTAACTAATGATTGTATCCAGTACTTGTGTATACTACTAACTAATAATAAAACAATACAAGAACTAGACATCAGTCACCACTCCATTAGTGATAGAGGAGTTACTAATATCTGTCAAGCACTTGAACACAACTCTACACTTACCTCATTAGATCTTTATTGTAATCCTCTCATCACTTCTACTAGTGGACTGGCTCTTTCTCATCTCCTCCTCAGTAACTCATCACTAATTGAACTGGATCTGAGGTGGAGTATATTGTCTACTGAATCAATACTACTCATCCTCCAGTCACTAATGGATAATAAGAAGATAAGGAGACTCAGGCTAGACAGTCGACACAAAGAGACTTGTATTAATACTTATCCTAACTATCACCTCATACAAGACAGAGTAGACTGGGGGTATTTCTAATCACTCTTCATGTGAACTTGTATATCTTCACCAAAAACAAGTGACCAATCAGAATGCACTATACATAAAAGGCTGATTTGTTATTTTTATTAATTCCATTATTAATTTTTTTGATATACATTATTTCATAATCTCATTCTAATCAATTAGCATGTGATTCACTTCTGCTAGTCCCGCCCACAAAAAGTGACAACAAATCATTTCAATATTACTTTAATTGTACAACACATAATTAGAAATGACATACATGTAAAAACAACAACAACAATAATAAAAATACCCTAGTCCTTTTTCATGAAACTTTGCATGAAATTGAGGTTATCAAAAGATTGAGATACTCTCACATTGGACCACCAGAATCCACTGCTGCTTCCCCAACAAATGTCACAAGAATGTACTTACTGGTATCAAGACCACATCTCAGCTGATGGAGAGTATCCTTGAGTACATGCTTCTGATGGACCACAATACCCATGTGGTCATCCGTATTGATTGGTAAGTACATACCATTATAAATCTGAATTAATTCAGAGATAGTATTACCATGTGAACTATAATTAAAATAAAATAACTAATATTTGAAAACAACAAATTACCTTTCTGTCAAGGAACTCAAAGGTGAAATAGGCAGTAGAGTAAGGTTTAGACAATTCATATTCACTTGATCATATTCAAGCATATTCATATTTAAGATTAAGATTAAGATGAAAAACTTCATTTGTATCAGGTGTTTCAACTTCAATGGACCTTATTCAATGAAATTTTTCTAATTAACGCGCACCTGAGTTGGTGGTAAAATGGCGGATTTTTGTAAGAAGGACAGGGTGAGCAATCTTGTCTTTTTATCCAGCCATTCTAGCTGTGAGAACCACTTTGAGCTGTCCTTTTGTTTCAGTATACTCTATTTATCTCTTCCGTAAGCTCTTTGGTTGCTGTTTTGGCTTTTATAGCATTTTATCATAGGAATATTCTTACTCATTGGCAATTCCCCATAGGTGGCCAAATATAGGGGTGTTAAGGTCCTTTTAATTTCGAAATAACCGGTTATCATGGTTATCATGGTTATCTGATACTTTCACAGTATTCTGTTCAAGGAATCATACAGGAACTGGACACAGAGTCTAGTAACATAGATTACATCACTATTTTTTAATTCTGGGACATGCCCACGCAGCTAACTATTAATGCTCTTAATTAAACATAGTCTCGCAGTGAAGTATCTATGATATTAAGGGTGTACATTTCTATTGTATGTTTTATTTCTCTCATATTATAATTTTATATACATTTATCAAGATCAAGGAATTTTTAATTTAAAAATTGATAACATAATGATTGATGAATAGTGCATCTTGCCAGGAGTGAA